CCATGATGATGGTGTTTCATCTTTTCTATCTGCTCTTGGTGTGTCAGGCACACCAAGTAGCACAGGGGAAATTACTGTAGTGGAATTTCTGGAGGAACATGTTTCTCCTCCTAGCTTGAGGACTTACAGGCTAATTCTACATTATGGGGTGAAAAATGAGCTCAGGAATAAGAGAAAGTGTCTCAGTCCCCTTTATTCCATGTCCATGGGCCTTAGCCTGGCAGTAAGTCAGACTTGAGGTGAGACTTGTCTCACCCAGCATTAGCTGTACGTGGTGCCTGGTTTTGCTCATCTTTTTCTAGGTGTTTACTTTTGGGTGGAATGGTTCATGCCATATACACGCATGTTTTTATCAAGTACATATTTAAAGACTTGAGGGTGACTAGGTCAGAGGTGAGTATCAACAATTTGGACATGTTTATGTGGCTGAGTAAATTTTACTGAGAGGCTGTTTCTATACAAATAAATGAAATGTGCCTGATACTGTTCTTAGCCTTGAGGCCAACTGGGATGGAGAGGCTTGCTTTCATGCAGCAGCTGTCTCACCCTCCAAAATAGGGTGGCTCTATGCAGACTTCTTATTAGGAGTGATCTGGTTCCTCCTAGCTCCTGAACCACACATGAGAGTTATTTGAGAGAGTGCTACTGGTGCAGACCAAAGCCACTGCAGATACTGTGGTAATAATTTATGCTATAGATAGTCAAATACCCATGCTCAGAAATATTCCTCTGCGCTAGTGTAGCCATAGCTAAGGTAAGCACCCTATGTTTTGGGAGAATGGAGCAAGTGAACTGGGCTGAAGCATTTCCCACCTTCTGCTCCTGCAGACCACAGAAACGAAAGCGTGGATCCATGCTCACATGCCATATGTCTTCTGTCTCTCCCCTAAAGCAAGCTTCAGATCTCAGGCTAAACTCAGCGATGGAATAAAGGTTTACAACATGGAAGATTGACCATGTTTGATCTTGACCAGTCATTTGCCTGACAGACAAAGACTTACTTGTAGTCCCAGAGGAGGGCACTGTGTTAGTGATGTACCCTGTTAGTACATCATATTGTCACTGGGGGAGATAGAGGCAACCAGACCACAACTTCCATCGTAGTATGGCCGAGGGCTTGATATGTGTGGCAGAGTTATGGATCAAAACTCTTAACACTTCTCTTCCACCACACCACTCTTAAGTGATGAGCATTGAGAAATGTGACGGATCATCAGCACAGAGAATACATCAGATGTCGTTTTGAAACATTTCAACGCTGGAAGGTTCCAGTTGGGTAGGCAAGTTGCCTGATACAAAAGGCATACGGATTAAGCAACTACTGTCCTGAAAGACTGTTAAAATTAAATTGTGAATTGACATCTCTATCATTACAGCCCTGGAGCAGAGTGTCTGCCTAGGTATTTCGTAATGGAGTATTTAAGCCTAGCAACATATGGCTTAGGTTGCTGAATAATATGCAGTGTTATGTACTTTAATAACATTAAACTAGAATGTTCTGATAATAATATTATTTGAAAGCTGTTTAGTTTATTTAATACCATTTATATTTCATATGGCAGTTGAATTTGGCGAAAAAAAGATTTTAGAAGAAACTGGGGGGAGCGCGGTAGGAAATTGTGCAATGTACTTATCTGAGACTACATCACATGGTCTGCAAAGCACGGCTTTTGCTTTTATACACATAGTCTTGGCGACTCTCCCACCAGCAACAATAGTGCTTAGACTCATACTGATGTCACTGTTGAGTTATTTAATTTGACCAAACGAGATTAATGTGTTTATTTAAAACCTTGGTCAAAATGGAAAAGAAAATCTCTGGACAATACTTTTACGTGAACATGTATGTTTTTATATCTGATGATTGTAATGTTGCATTAACTTATCTGGGGCAGTTGTTTACACATGCTAATGCCCAGGAGACCCTCTCAGATAAGAAGTGTGAGCCATTTTTTCCTCTCAGACCAGAGCAGGGACTTCTACACCGCTACTGGTCCTGTGGGCTTTCATCCCAGGCACTTCCTGCTGCTGCTTTCAGGGCTGCTCTGCAGAGATCCCATTACTGTTTCATTTTCTCACGTGAGGAGGGGGTTGGTGCCACCAAGCAATGACAGCAGCGTGGTGGTGGATCCTCCCTAGGTTCTCACCAGAGCAGTGAGGGACAGACACCTCCACCACATGTGATGCCTAGATGGGGCTGGCACCTTGCTATGTAAGCTAAGCCTGCTCCCACCGAGGCTGGAGACCGCCTGCCTAAATGTTATCCATATTATGTTTTGCATACTGCTTGAGGTTGTTTTCTTTTCCTGTGATAAATCATTCTGAACTTACTTCATGCTCACATGTACCCTCTAAGTGTTTGGAATAGACTTTGGTTTTGACTAAGAGGCATTAGTAAGTATCCAGTTAAATGTTCTAGGCCATTGGATTTTTACTAATATGGAGTGGGGAAAAAAATCTGGAATCTGAAGTTTCTCTTTGCATTTTGGGACAAGTTTAGGCTGTTCTGTGGAATTGATCATTGATTACTGAATGGCACAAGTGAGGGAACTTCTGCCGTGCTCTGTCAAGAACCTCTCTTGACAGTTAAGGACAACTGAACATACACATAGATTAATAATGTAGAAATTGCATCAGGCAGAGCTCTGTGCTGTGGTGGGTGCCTGAAGCAGGGTTTGCCTGCTCTTCCTTACAGTTTTGAGTTCCTTTGTTCATACTTTCATGCAACCTCCGGTTCACTGGTGCTCAAAATATGAATCTCCTGGGGAATAGCCGCTGGCACTTGTGATATGCCAAAGAGTTGCTTTTATGCTTTCTCTTCTGTGGGGCCAAGTGCTTCCATCTCCCTAGTTCTGTGGAAGGCTTTTGGAGATTTTAGCCCTTGCCCTCTTCCTTGCTGCTCTCACAGAAGAAGGGGTAAACCTCCTTATGTGTACGTGTATCTGCATTTCTCACAGTGCTGGGTGACATAATGGGGAAGAGGAATGGGAATGAGAGCAAAACAGAAGGGCTAGGAAGAAAACAGCTCCAGGCAGTCATTGGTCCTCAGCAGGCATTGCACGTTGCCTAAGAGGCTCTGATGCTCTGGGCCATGTGTGCTTCCCCTGCAGAGCTGTGTGGTGCTGAGCATATCAGACTATGCTGAGGAACCAGTCTTGGGGGTTGGCCTCCTGTCTCAGTATGTCGTACATGTGCCTGCACTCAGTGTCGTTAAGTGCCCTTTGAACTCTTACAGTTTAAGGAAACTGGAGAATAATACAGTTTGTGAAGCCCTGCAGCTCCCAAGTCCGGGCAATAGCTCTCTCTCTTCTCAATGGCTGCATATAAGTAGTGCTGATGACTGTGACCACGCCTTTACTGGTGGGAAGTGAGAAGGACCCAAGTCTTCCCGCAAGGGTGGAGTAGAGCAGTCATGGTGCTGCTTCTCTGGACACATCTGTTCAGAAGCTGCCCCCATCTCCTGCTTTAAGTGCCCTTTGTATAGCTCTGTCCTTTGGACTTGGCATGCACAGGGGGTCCATGAAGTACATTCAAAGTAGTAAATAGCTTGGCCTACAAGAGCATTTTTCCTCAGAGTTCCAGTCAGTGGAAATATGTCATTTTAAGCTAAAATTAGACTGGCTCTAGCTACATTAAAAAAAAAAAGGAAAGAAAAACTCTCAAGAACTAAACTCTTTCTGTTGGACTTAGTCAGATGTAGCAACTCGTAACAGAAATAGCTTAGGATCCATCCAGCACAGAACTGTGTCCAAAAGTCTGTGATTTTCATCCAAAAAACTTTGAATTGTTGGAGAGAGCAAAACAGACTGGCTAGGCAAACAAAGTTTTGTCTTGCATATGAGACAATGTAAATAAACTTGGAGAGTAGTGATAGATCTTTCAAAGCCAATAAATGAAATCTGTGAGTAGTTGAATTTAAAATTAATTTTGCGGTTAATGTTGTAGAGCTCTTGACAGTAGAGTGAGATCAGAGGGGGAGAGATGGAGTTGAAATCAAAAGTGTATTCTGCTTATTACTTCTATAAAAATTAATTTTACATATTTAATTTTAATTTAAACTCTAAACACGGATTTAAGTGGTTGGACTTTTAATGCCTTCCGAGGTCCAACTCTAAAATGAGTGTGAAGGAGGGAGTGGCGAGGAAAGCCTTGGACCCAAAATAAACAGCAAAAAACAAACAGAAGAACACTGAAAATTAAATACACATTTTGAATAATTTCTCTTTCAGAAGATTTTATTGAAGGAACAATGAAAGGAGTGTGTGAAGCCTAACTGTGTATTGTGTTGTTATTCCAGGCTTCATCAGCAGTTTCTCAATGTTTGGAAAGTTCTGAGACCCGCCCTGTTGGACTACTTGTAACCAGTGCCTAAGACTACAAAAACTTACGTGTGGAAGAACCTTTCTTTGAAGGAAGCGTCCATCTCAAAATTGTGGAAACTCCGTGCAAACCTTGCAAAGCAGGAGGGTGATTTGTGCTTCTGTTGACGCTTGTGTGTAATCTCTGCTTCTTATGCACTCCAGCACCCCTATCAGTTCCTTGTTCTCCTTCACCAGCCCTGCAGTGAAAAGGCTGCTGGGCTGGAAACAAGGAGATGAAGAGGAAAAGTGGGCAGAAAAAGCTGTTGATTCCTTGGTGAAGAAGTTAAAGAAGAAAAAAGGTGCCATGGAAGAACTGGAAAGGGCTCTGAGCTGCCCAGGTCAGCCCAGTAAATGTGTCACGATCCCACGTTCCTTGGATGGGCGGCTGCAGGTGTCTCACCGCAAGGGGCTCCCCCACGTCATCTACTGCAGAGTGTGGCGCTGGCCTGATTTACAGTCTCACCATGAGCTGAAACCACTGGAATGTTGTGAGTTCCCATTTGGCTCAAAACAGAAAGAGGTCTGCATTAACCCCTACCATTACCGGCGGGTGGAAACCCCAGGTAATTATACTATTGGAAATGATTCACATCTCTCTATTAGCTTTTGCATGGACAGGTCTAGTCCGGTGCATCCTACCAGGTTGCGCTCTGAAATCTGAACAGGCAGGCTCTGTTTGATGGAAGGACCTTGAGTCTTTCCCTGCCCAGTGGCATCACAGAGTAAGGAGCACCTCGCCCGTGGAGTCAGTGTCCCGTCGGCCCCACGAGAGTGCCTGGATCTTGTCCAGGGTGCTGAAAGCAGCTTTCTCTCTGTGGACGTGGGTGCTGAACCCTTCTCCTGCAAACTGGTGTCCATTGGCAGGAAGTCTAAGAACCAGCCTAGACTTACCGCCCTGGCTAGGATTTATTCCTTGTTGTCTGAAAATTGACAATCACTTCATTAATTCACAGGAAAATATGTATTATTAGCTCTCTCTTTAAAGATCAGAGTTGCAGTAAGATGGCTTATTTAGCTGTGGATATGAAACCAGGTCAGTTGATTCTTCCTAAAATTCCTAGTGGCCTGCTTTCAGTGGGATTTACTTACTGAATGGGTAGTTTATATGAAACAAATCCTTCAAATTCCCATAAAACTTTTATTTTTTTCCACCAATGATCCTCTTTAGACTGGACTTGGTCAGCACTGAAAGCTTATGAGCTCACTGAAGGGTCACTTAATTGAGCTTTGTGTCAATGAAACAGCTGTTAAAAAATTATAGTGTTCAGTGTTGACTTCTGTAGAGATCTTAGAAAGCAGGACTGGCAGAGATTAGAGCAGTCATCCTGTTCTCCTCTGCCCCTACTCCCAAACCAAAACAAATTACCAGGTACATTCCTGACAGAAGTTTTTCTAAGGAGCTCTAAAAATCCCTTGTGATAGAGGTTCCACAACCTCCCCAGGCAAATGAATCTATTGCTTTGCTATTCTCACAGTTCAAAATGATTTCTAATGTCTAACCTAGCTCTCCCTTGCTGCCAAAAATCACAGTAATTTAATTTACTAATGGATATGGTTGGTAAGTGTATACTTATTATTCTGTGATTACTCTTTGTCTGGCATGAACTTTACTCTGGGGTGACATTAGGATCAGATAAGTGAACTGTGGGATGTTTCTTTTCACACAGATGAAATAAGGGAAAGACATTTGTTAACATTTGTTAAACAACAGGGACTGCTCCTTTTTCTGATAGCCCTTCCACTGCAGTAGAGCTCTAATGTTGAAGCTGTATCTGCACTGCTGTAAACATTGTCACGACTAAAATTTTACAGCTGCAGTGAGTGGTGTGTGTTGTCAACAGTTTTCAGTGGAAAGAGCTGATCTCCTGCCTCGCTAAAATAAACTCCTCAAGAATCTAAGAAAAGATGCTCATAAAATATCCCATTTTGTGTATCTTTCTCTTTGAAAGCTGTAGTCTTTAGTGTCTTCTCATTTCTTCTTGTGTAACTCTAGTGTAGTTAATGGAGCCTCAGCCCTGATCTTCTGATCTGTTTGATGCTAACTAACAAATGCTGGTACTGAGGTAATGCAGCAGCTGCTCAATGGCTGCCAGAGCTTGTTGTTCTGACACTAAAACCTAGAAGGTTTCAGCTGTGAACATGTCTACCATTTGTCTGTGCAGCAGACTGGCTCCATCTCTGCTGGTAAATGAGACGGGGCCAAGGTGCAGGTCTGAGTATTGCTGAATTGGTAGCATGCTCCCGGGCACAGCTTTGACCTGTGTGGACTCACATGGATAAGCAGTTCTCAGGGTGCAGGGGTCAGCCCTCAGGAGGGACTTTGGGCACTCTGGACGTGACCACCGCTGTTTCATATGTGAGAGCACAGCTCTGAGGATGCAAGCTGTGCTGTGCCAGTTCTCCAGAGGACCTGGAAATTATTCTTGGGCCGTTGTATTTACCCCTACCACTCTTCTTACGGGGACAGCTCAGAAGCTGAAGCAAGTGAGTTTTCACCTTGCTAAAAATGCTGTGCAGCAAGGAATACAACATGCTCAGGGGTGCGGGACAGTGGCAGGAGAGGTACCTCACACCACTGCAGATGGCAGCAATGTAGTTCCAGGCCAGAGGCAGTTAGAAAGCAGTGCTGCAAGAAGGAGGTGGCCAGGCAAGAGAAAAAATGAGCTTCAGGAGAAGGCGGTAGCAGTGAGATCACCACGGAAAAGGCTGGGAGTGATTGATCTAGGTGCCAGTCTGTTTAAGCAACAGTCCTCTTTTAAGTACAGGAAATCTTCTGCATCTTGGCTGTTCATGATCTTAGACTTAGGTGAGATTCTCTGAACCTCATCCTCTGGAGCTATAGAATCCACCCATGAAATTAGTCAGCAATTCTTTATAATCCGCAAGCCAGTTTTGTTTTCATACAGATGTCCATCCTTCTGGGGCTCACTTTCCGTCACTGCAGTGTGTCGTGCTGAGTTAACCAGTCAGTGAGCAAATCCGGTAACTTTTATTCAGAATGAATGAGTTATGTCAAAGATGGGAGTGCCTCACCCTTTCTTTGATGGCCTGACAGATCCCTCGACCTGGGTTAGAAGAGAGCAGCTTTAAGCTCTGATCTGAGATTCAGGGGTTTTGTTGCCTCCGCTGTGTCCTTAGGCTGCCCAGCCACGTCCTAGTGTATGCTGACCACTACTGCACAGATTATGTGCAGATTTTACTGCTGCTACCAGTGCCCTCAGCAAGTTTCTCCTCAGGTCTTCTGAGCAGCAGGTACCATTTGGAAAAAGGCAGCAAATATTTCCTCCATTTGTGCAACATCCCACTGCAGAGAGGGGTTAGACCACCTAGCCTAAAGGAGATGGGTATGGTGGTTAGGCTCTGCTTCCCTCTTCATTGTTTTGCCTTGAAGAGCTCATCAAAAGTCTGAATGGTTTGTTGTCAGGAGAAGCTGCAGTTTCAGAAAAATATAAAAGCTGCCCAAATATTTATCCTTTTGTTTCTGTATGAGATCATTCATGTGTAGATAGTGCAGATTCTAGTGTGCACCTTTGCTGTGCATGAGCCTAAATGAACTTTTGACTTAGACTAACTGATTGCTTTTGTGAAACCCCAGTGTGACTAAGATGTGGTAGCCTCCCAGCTGGAAGACCACCCAATGATCTCACTGTTGGCCCTGTGTTTGGTGTTTGTGAATGGTCATGGGCATAGAGAACAGATGGATCTCATCGGAGGATAGGTCTCTGAAGACAATGAACTCTGCAAAGGTGGGCTGCTGGGTGAGAAATTGCAGTGTGGATGTTGTACCTGGAATTAAACTGTGAGGAAGATAGATAAGTGCTTTCTAGCACCTGAAGTCACAGGCTCTGGGCACAGCCAGGTTTCCAGCAAGAACTAGTGCAGCTAAAGGGAGCAGGAGAAAGCCTAGTGTGGGAAAGGCAGTGGCAGGGCTTGGAACATGACCATATTTGTCTTCAGTTGAACAAAGATCACCAGCACCTGGGCATGCATAGAAGGAAGGATCCAGCCCTGGCTCTGGGTGGAGAATAGCAGGTAGAAGAAAAGGACCCCACTGAACGGAGACAACACAGGGAAATTATGAGGACAGGCAGGTCCCAATGCACTCAGTCACTCCATTTCATGCTTCTGGTCACACTTCCTTCAGAGTGATTGAGCCCTGGAGAGTGACATCTGTTACCAAAAGAACAAGGAGAACAAGGCCCTCTGGGGAGTTTTTAGCCACAAAAAGAAAATCTCTGAATTCCTCTCCACCACAGAGGGTTTAGCCCTCCAGGCAGCCACAGAGCGGTCAGTGGAAAGATTGAGTGAGGTGGCAAAAGCTGTACAGCAGAGCAGAAATTAAAGAGTACCCTGGTCAAAGCTGGGAATGAGTTCAAGGCTTGAAAATTCCTCTTGCTGACTCACTCAGGGTGAGTCAAAGGTTTTCCCTGGCAAGTGCTCTTCACACATCCACATTCTCAGCTTTCATTTAGAGAAGGCATTGTGTTGAGTTCTCGCAGGGCTGAAGAAAGCCTCTTGCTTAGCAGTGGTACCCACAGCGAGGTGCCAGCCTCCCAGCACAGCACAGCATTGCTGTAGCACAGCTATCCCTTGCTCAACAACCTCTGCTGGGTGAAAAAGGATCACCAGTTCACCATTTTCCAGGGCTGCTGCTCAGAGCTGGCAGGGCAGCAGCAAACCTGGCAAACATCATGACGGTTTCATGGAGCAGCAGAAGAAAACTCCAGAAGCAGCAGCAGCTCACAGCCTGGAGCTGCTCACAGGAGCATGGGATGGGAGGGATCCAGGTCATCAAAACCACATCTACAGTGGTGGTACTGGTCTTGGGCCAATATAGAGCAGATGAACTGAGCACTAAAATAGTCTGTTTCTCTCCACTGGCTATGAAGATATCCATGGGAGATTGGGCAATGCATCTCAGATGTGAATACCTGTATTGCCTGTATGAGCCCTACCTGGGGAATCTAGGAAACCCAAAAAGTGAAAGGAGTAGTAAGAAAGCAGAAATACATTTCTCTACCAAAGGACTTAAGAGGGTGGCAACAAAATCTTCATCCCACATGTAGGGACCTATCAGAGACAGAAGGAAAGAAAGAAATCTCCAGAGCACCATCCATGTGGTGGCCAGAAGCTCATGAGAAATGCATTGGAACAGAGAAGGGTCTAGTATAGTCTCTGAACAGGTGTCACAGTGCCCATGTTTCCAGGCAGGTAAGAAGATTCAGGTTCACTTCTGCAGTGAACACCTTGTCATCAGTCTAATCTTCAGTTTGATTTTAGGGCTCAGTTTTTCATGGATGACTGGAAATTCCCAAGTGGTAGATGCCGGTGGGTGGGCAGGAGCATGATTTAACCCTGCCCCAGCTGCAGCATTAGTGCTACATCAAGCAAGAAGCTGTAAACCTGCTCTTGGTACCAAGCACTGGTCCTCCTCCTCCAGCTTAAACTGCCACAGGTCTCTGAGCAATTGATGTGCACTGAGGGTGTTCCTACAGCCTCTTCTCATGCATGTGTTTTGCATTATCTGTATATTATTTACTTTCTAGCAATTATACCACTCTTTCATTATGCTGGATAAATGAGAGTTCACTGTAATTAAAAGGTGTTAGCTAATCTACCTCAAGAGAATTGGCCTTAACTAGACAGAGCTTTTGGGCCCAAATAATATATTAAAACACATTCAAACCATATATTCTTGTCAGCTTTTATAACCAAGAGCACACACAGCTGTTTGTTTCTATAAGCTAACAGGGATAGACTGAAAGATTACGTACTGCTGGGTTTTGGGCCAGAGGAGCTCTGGACACTAGATCAGTCAATACAAGCCTGCTGAGTTGTTCCCATCCCAGTACTGGGACAATTCATCCTTGTCACAGTAACTCAAATTACCTCCTTATCTTCTTTGGTGGCTTTTAGATCTGCGCAATAGCAACTGGGGATTCATTCTCTCTGGCTGTGTTTAAGGCCTTAACTAAGGTAATTAGGCACTATGTGAGCTAGAAATTAATAGAGGAATCTCAGGGTACATGAATTGCCCATTGTAAGTGCTGTTCTCCCTTCAAGGACTACAGGGTACTCAGTTAAAGCTTAAAGTTTAACTCCCATATGCAGAAGTATTTATCAGCCCTCTGTGTTCCAACCTATGGGTTGCATCTTTATAGATAACTCACTTAGTTGGCTTTTCTGAAGTGTTTTGACTCCAGTTCTGCTCTCGTTTCTGATATGTCAGAATCCAAAATCATTTGGGTCAACTTCAGGTTTCTCCGTGCAGCAATGCTGTTAACAGCACTGACAGTATGAGATGTAAGTAAAGAGAGTTTGTGAAGGGAGGCAATATCTTCTGTAAGACCAATTTTTACATGGATGGGTTTGGAGTTCAGTTTTCTGGCCTGCGTTTTTCATGTCTTAACTAGCAACCACTGACATTTGCCTCTTCATGCTAGATCTTTTCTAACTATATTGTAAGAACTAAATTAGTATTGCTGCAATATTTGAGTTGCCATTTACATTTCCTTTTAATATTCCATTGTCTGTCTGGCAGAATTTTTAAGTACCTGAAAACCTTTTCCATCTGGTGTCTGGGTTCAGTTCTGTGCTTCCTTTTGCCCATCTGTAAAACACTTGGTAGTAAAATGTACAGAGTGTTGCAGAGCACTATTAATTGTTATTCAACTTGGCTGCGGTTTTGGCAAATCCTGCTGATATTTAGCAAACTCCTGATGTTCAGTCTTTCAAGAAGGAAGGAATGGGTAATTTAGAGAGGGAGAAATATGCCACTTGCATTTCTGTAGGAGGGCCGTGTGCACATGTCATACGTTTGAATTTTATGCTATCTTGCTTAAGTCAGGAATGAATCCATATTTTGCGTATGGAATTGCAGCAACTGTCTGCAAATCTGGAGGAAAGATGTCCAAGAATCAACTTTTGATTCTTGTTTTTGGACAGCTTTGTTGCCCTTCAGTACCTTGTATATAGTCAGCAATATATGGGCAGCATAAAATATGCCTCTTTTTAACTTACAAAGGGATATACTTTCAAGAGTGCAATTTTAACCAGACCTTTTCTGTTCTCTTTTTTATTTTCAGTCCTGCCTCCTGTACTCGTTCCAAGACACAGCGAGTTTAACCCTCACCTCAGCCTCCTCGCCAAGTTTCGAAACACTTCTCTGCACAGCGAGCCACTGATGCCGCACAACGCCACCTATCCGGATTCTTTCCAGCATCCTCCATGCACCCCTTTTCCATCATCGCCCAGCCACATGTTCTCCCAGTCACCTAACAGCATCAGCTACCCCAACTCACCAGGAAGCTCTTCTGGACCAGGAAGTCCCTATCAGCTCACAGGTGAGAAGGAGCTGTCAGCCATCCTGACTGAGGTGGTTGAGGTTCTTGCCAGGGCCTCGGGTCAGGTGCCAATTCTGTGTGCTCCCCACAGGCTGTAGCTACTGATTGGACAGAATGGATTTGGAATGTGATTTTTTTGTGACTGTCTCTTAGTATTGTCTTCCAGTCCTTCTGACAGACGCTCAAGGGACTAAGAGCTTTAGTTCTCGCCCTAGAAGTTCCTGGATGAGATTTCAGGGTTACTGTAAGGGGAAAGTTGAGAAGAGGAGCAGGTGTGCCAGGCCAAAAACTGCATATCCAAGCTTCTGTGACAATACACAGAAAAGAGCACTTGTGACATCTAAGTTAGGGTGCTCTGATAGAGGTGGTCAGGGTAGGGACCTTTAGAAACTCCATCAAGAGAGACAGAATAAAATGGGGAAATCAGTACACAGAAATATTTTTTAGTGTATGGTGATCCTGCTGACTGTATAAACTTCAGGAAGTTAAGGTGTTTAACAATCTGGCCCAATACTTGGTGAAGCCACCAAGCAAATTCCTGACTTTGGAATGTGTTTCATCATTTCCACAGTTCTGAGGTCAGCAGGGTTATGTCACTCAGATTGTTTGCATTGTGAACTACTTAGTACTGCTCTAATAACCTGAGAATTTAACTATGCTTTTACTTGTAAATAGACCAAGAAGGTGTCATGCAACACAGCTGAGAGCTAGCTTTCATATCAAAACGTGGTTCAGATTCACTTCTGTACTTTGTTTTAACTCTCAAATAGTTTCTGTGATCTCAGCTTTTTCACAAGGATTAATTCAGGTCAGAATCTTGTAGTTTAATGTTTTACTGTCTCAACTACAAAGCATTTTAATCCATGTCCTTAAAGATACGTCTATTTTGATTTTAAGTGCAAGGATAGACTGAATAACTGAATAGTGGATAAACACTGAAAGGTGTTTATTTTTACGAGGTAATTGTAGTATTCCTTTTAAGCTGGCCACTTTCAACACAGTGTGATATTTTCCTTCCCTCTCCATTCATTGAATGGACCTTCATTCATTTCTTCTCTAGATCTGTACTTCAGATTAAATCATATTTAGCAACATCGAAACATTTCAGCAAGTAGTAGGACTTGTTTTCTCCCATCTTTTTTTTTCACCTCTGTGTAACCAAACTGGATTCAGTGGAGCTGGTCCTGACAGGTAAATCATTCCATGATTTATGTAATGTATGAAACTATGTAATGACGCTGACTGAACTTAAGACCTCGCAAACCTACTTAAAAATGGAAGTGGCTCAACCTGAACTTGACGATATCACAGCACACAGCACGCTGATAAGTGTAATTTGCCTGTGTGACAATCAGGAATGGAAGATTATCTAAAGCAAACTGGAGTTACATCGAGAACCTTGAGTGGGATTGGTGTGACCAAATATAAATGTCAGCACTGCAAATTTCTACATCTCATGCAATTGTCTATATTCTCTCTGTAAACAGTGGAGAAAAACAAGCACTCCTAGAGCAAGATTCATTGCATCTGAAGGTATATATTTAAAGTAGCTGAGATGCACCAAGTCTGCAGGTGCCTGTTTTTCTTTAGTGCATATAAGGAGAGCTTATGGTGACTAGCTTAGGTGTTGACATCAAAAATACCTATATAACCACATTATATTCCTTTCTGTGACTTGTATTCTCTCCCACTCTTTCTTGATTTTATTTTTCTATACTAGCTTGTTGCATTTTCTGTAGGAGGGTCATCATCTATATGTTAGAAATATCATAGAGTGTACGGAATTCCTAAATTCTGAATAATGCTTAAATAGAGTCACATTCCTGTCCAGTACTTACTTGGAAGATTTTATGCTTGTCTTATGAGACAGTCCACATTTATTCAACTCTGGGTGAAGCTGCTCTGTTTTGAGGGCCAGCCAACAGACCCCAAACACCAGAGGAAATTCCAACCTGGAACCAGGTTAAACTCTGGTCTTCTTTAAGAAAACCTCATTCCTTCAAGCTTGTATATGGCTATAATTTATATGTAAACCCACTGAGTTTCTGTTCAAATGAATAGAGCTACATGCTTTTAGTGTTTATGCAGTGAATGTCATCATTTTCTCTCATGAAAATGAAGTGCCTTTTTTTTAACTTTCTAAAGCCTCCCATCTTTCTTAAGAATCCTCGAATCCCCACTATAGAGTCACATTCTGTTTTCTAGGTTACTGTGCCATAAGTGAAACAGATCAGGAGCTGGGTAGGTTGTGAGTTGATACTTTTTCTCCATATTTTTTCATCACATCCATTGCTCTTTGATAGGAGATGGAACAAACCAGAAGAGGGGTGGCCTTCTCTTGTAGGACAGAGGTAAAAAGGACAAATCTGGAGTCTGATTTTAGAGTTCAAAGGCTTTTCATAGGCTTTTTTTACAGCCTGTGAAAAAGGAGAGCTTTGTCCCAGAGGGTCAGTTAAAGTTACCTTCTGCTCTTAAGTCATCCACTTCAAGTTTCAAAGAGAAGTCTGAAGGATCAAACTATGTTACTTTCTTAGGGTAGTAGCTCACGATAACAGAGAGCTTGGCTGGACACTGGTCTAGGCCTGAGGCACTGTTGTGACTGTCCCTCTCTCTTTGAAGTGCAGCACGTCCAGCTCAATCTCACCTCCCTGAACATGTAATGACCTTATTCTGGAGAGTGAAGGGAGGCCATGTTCACATTTGCACTCTGTTTCCAGCCCTTCTCTAGCTATACAATGCTGTTGAAGAGTTTACTATTCACCAGGAAAAGCTGGGTAGAATTCACCACTGTATTGATTGATTTTAGGTGTCTTGTCTTTCTCTTCTTTCTTTCTTCCCTTCTTTCCAATAGTGGAAACTCCACCCCCGCCTTACCATGCAAGAGAACCTCCAGGAACCCACAATGGGCGGTCAATGGATGCAATAGCTGAAAGTCAACTCGTGCTGTCGTTGCCCAATGGAGGTAAATCTGCCGATGGAGAAGCTGAAAGTAAATAACCATTTGTACTATTCTTCAAAGAAAAACTGTTAAGCGAAAAAATTGTTATTTGAACAGGAAGGTTCAGTGATCTGTAATAACAGGTTTCAGACAGTTTTGCTGTAGGGCTGTGTACTAAACCTATCCATTAGCTAGCAGAATAGGTTGATTTAAGAATTCAGTGAATTATGTGTGAAGTTAAAAAGTTTAGACCTTATTTGCACCCATGAACTATTATAGTTGGAAAGCTGTTAATGAAAGCAAACACTATTACCTACATTGTAAAGACAAAGATATCAAATAAAGGATAGTGAGGTAATATAACACAAAGAGCACTATCAATATCAGAACTGATTTCTTTATCACCTTCGGTTCTGGGTTTCAAGTACTTTAAAAGCCTTGTGGTTGGGACCTTTCTTACTGCCATCTTTGTATTAATGTTACGTTACTGGCAGGCTAAAAAAGAAAAGGACATATTCTAGTGAAGTATAAAGAGATTTTTGCAGAAAGCCAAACTCTTCGTCCACATATAAGAATGCTTTAGTGGGAGAGGGCATGGGTGGTCAGAGTAGAAGGGCCTGGGATCCTCCTCACTCCCCTCAAAGCAATTTCATGACCACTCCACCATGGCCACTGCTACCTCTGGACTAGTAGTAGCAGATGGTGCCTCCACTGTTCAAAGTCCATTGCTGCAGAGCCGCAAGGGGATATGGAGTTCCTCTGCTGGGTTTTCCTTTGGCTTCCTGCTTTTGCAATGGAAAAATCACTACTGTTCTTCTGTCCAGTGTATTCTAGTCATAAACAAATGTCCTTTATGGCATGAGGACTGAACACTGTGCACATTAAAAAATAATGCCAGCCTTCTGAAACAGTGAGGAACATATATGTATCACAGAACTGTAGCAGAGGGAAGATGTGGGTGATAGTGCTAATTACAGATGGGTACACAAAATGGCCAGATAATAACTAGTTGCCAGGCACCAATACTTTTAAATAAATTGTCGAGTTATTTTGATCTCTTTACCATAGTTTACCATCTCTGCTCTAGTGAATATATTTGGAAGTTTATTAGAGGTTATGCACAGAGGTGCTCTGGAGGCAGGAGGTCTCATATGCCTGTGGTGGGCAGGCAGGATAAAGTTTCCCACTAATTCCTGTAGGACAATTGAAGCTCAGAGATTGTTACATTTTTTAGTCTTTCTCCATCTCTGAGTTAGAAAACCGAGGCAGGAATAGATCCAAAAGAAATGACCTTGCTGACATTTCTGCTTATGGTCCCACATGGAAGCGGAAGGCCTCAAAGCATGCAAAAAATTGGGGGGAGTGATTGATTACTTCTGAACTTCGGAGTTTGGCATTAGGCTGAAGGCTTGGCTCAGTTTTGACTTGCTTTGAACCCATCTGTCATCTCTAGCTCCTGCTGGTGTGCAGAGCAGATGTATCCCTTACTGTTTTCAGTGTAGAGGTTGGGCCCAGGTTCAGCAAGAAATGTCAGCATGTGCTTAATTTAATGCAGTGGATTTATCACTTTTAAAAACAAGTGGGACTCATCAGAGGCTTAGAGTTAAGCTGATGTACCAGCCTTTTGCATGTCTGCGGCTTCAGTCATAAAATTAAGAAGAAACAGAAGCTGCTGTTGAGATAAAGTCTGACACAAATGACTGTTTAGATGAAAAAGCAGGGGAGTAGGAGTGGGAGGGAGGGAGGAAAGGAGACAGAGAATGATTGTTTAAAAAATATTACTAAGACCTGAGCAGCTGTATAATTTTACTTCCTACAGACTTTCGACCTGTTTGCTATGAGGAACCCCAACATTGGTGCTCTGTTGCCTATTATGAACTCAACAACCGGGTAGGGGAGACTTTCCAGGCTTCCTCTCGAAGTATCCTTATAGATGGATTTACGGATCCCTCAAATAACAAAAACAGGTTCTGCCTGGGACTGCTCTCAAATGTAAACCGCAACTCTACTATAGAAAACACCAGGAGACACATAGGAAAAGGTAAGACGAAATCCCTTCTTGCTGGGAATATTCAGAGCTTGAAAGAACTGTGCATTGCATTAACCAATCTAGCTGATCTGTCAGATGTGCTTGTCTGAAAACCAAAGCTCTGAGATTACTTCTGAAATAGAAGAAAAGCAGCTGATTCTTTCCTGACTGGATAACTATCATCAGAGTAGCTCCTTACAAAAGCTATTTACTTGGCCAGCAAAGAGAAAAATGTTGTTTATAGTTGTGTGTTCTAACTTAGCAGTATGTATTTTCATTTTATTTATTAGAGCTTCTGGCAACTGGGAATATTGCCACTGAAATGCCACTAAACGGATAATTGTTGTTTCCTGAGGCCTGGTTCTCTTACTACCAAATAACAAAGAGAGATGGATGAAACACTTAGTAGTTGAGTTATTTAGCTGAAGAACTCTTACAGGAGTTGCCTTTGTAGCTTTCCCCCTGCATCAGTCTGATTCCCTGTCTTGTCAACTTCTCGCCAGTAAAACTAAGTCTTGGGTTCATCCTCCAGCAGTTCTCCTTGTTTACTCCGCTTCTGGTGTACGTATACCCTGTGCACATAGGATCGTATGCTACTGGTGACAAATATGAGGAGACCACACCTGGGCATGCATGGCCACGCACACTCCGTCCCAGCTCACTGGGGCTGTGTAGGGCCTGATATTCTTCCAGAACTTACTGGTTTTTGTGGTGGTGAGTCAGAAGCTCTGTACAGGCCACTTCTCTGTGCAGAAGAAGCTTTTCCTGTTCTGGTATATCCAGTCTAGACTCATTATCTTGCCAACCCAGCCTCTCACCAGTGGCTGCCTGGGAATGGATTTCCCACTGGGCTCATTAACCCTAATTGTTCCACTCCTATTATCTTGTCAACCTCACCTCATTTCCCAGGCCTAGAGCAGTATTTTAATTGGCTCTTGATAGTCTAGTGCTGAATGATTGAATACAAGGAAGCTCTGAAATAAATGTGACATAGTTTTTACAAGCAACAGTGAACCTGAAGGCCAGCACAGGAGATGTACTTAGCTCTTGAACTTTCCTCTGGGATGGAAAGTACTTGTGTCACAGATGTACTGTGTGAAGCCAGTGTGGTGCTGCAAGTATCTGTCTTAGTAGTTGATTCTGAGGAGTAGAAATGAGTTGTACATCTAGTTCTAACTTACTCAGAAAATAAAGTAAAGCTTCTCTAACAGCTCTGTCACCGTGCCAGAGAGGTGTAGATCAAAGCTGGGCCTGACACTAAAAGAAGGATGACAAAAGATCCCAGTGAAAGTTGTCATTTCAGGATGTTACATCCTGTGACTTTCTGCCCAAAAAGAGGAAGAGAGAGAACAGAAAGAAAGTAAAGTAAATGCTAATGATCCTCATCCATTCAAATCTGAAGATCTGTCTTCATTGATTAAAAGTCCTTTAAAGTCGTATGGTAAAAATCTGCCCAAGGGAAGGGAGCAGGTTGCCCAGAGAGGAGCTTAGTATATCAGAGATCCTTAATTTTACTGCTCTTCCTTGTTTATGCAAATCTTAAAAAAACTATGTTCACGTGGAGTAAGGGTGGCACGAGTACAGGCCTGCAGAAGAGCACAGAGCAACTCCAAAAGTGCATGCTGGACAGATGAAAGCTACTGAAGTGGATACAATTGTCACATGTTAACGGGGGAGAAAAAAGAGTGAGTAAACAAGATTAGCTCAGTAGGATAAGGATATGTGATTGAATTGTCATCTAGTGTATCAGCGTGAAACAGTTTCCTGGAAATACCACATCAAAGCTAAAAACAATTCAGAACACAATGCAACATCTACTAGGAATTGGACGTGTTTCAGAAGTCGTACTTCAAGGACGAAAAGGGGACTTCTGATCAGTGTCAAGAGATGTGGCTGCTTGGAGACTGCTGAATTTCCAGTTTCTGCAGAGAGCAGCGAAATCCCACTAAAACATATAGACCCTTGATTTGGTTTTCTACAAATGTGCATTCAGCTGCTTGGCTTCCTTGAGGGTGCTTGTCTCTGGTGAAAAATACCAGAAGAATGGAAATACACACTGACATTTCATTACTGCTGAATTTATTGCTTTTAAAAAGTCCATAAGGAAAAGCAAATTGTGGTCTCTACTTTCAGAAGTGACTTTGGTGGTTTTGTAATTATAGTACATAGTTTGGGCAATCTCTTTGAAAGCATTCATTTTTTCAGAAGTTTTGTTACTCAATATACTCTGAAAATCCAGCCTTTAAAATTTTTCACCTTAGCACACAGAAGTGTGGTCACCCTAAATCAGTAGCCACACCTGAAGATTTGAAATGTGGTGAACATTCATGTCCTTATTCTTCTCTTCCTACCCTGTGTTCTCACTCTGTTTATTTCAGGAGGTTATATGGACCCCATCAGCATCAGCTAGGACCTGTGTGTTTTCAGTCCTTCCCTTTTATCCATCTTCCAGAGACAGGGAAGGAGACATAGGTCAAGTAATAGCAGTCACAATGTGCAACACCCCATGTCTGGTGCAGTTGGGCTGGAGCCACACCCCCCTGCCACTTACATTTAATTTGAGAGCTCGTGGGTGCATAGAAGTAAAAGTCAAGTGATGGCTTGAAGACAGACTTCAGGGTTCCTGTCTGAGTCACTCTGGAAGTCTATGGGAGAGCGTATTTTTCCCAGATTCTTTTCCCACTCAACCTGCTTTTCCCAAAGCCTTTCCCACTTCTGTGTAGAGTCTGTTTTTGTCCTAAGGATGTGCTGCTGTCCCTTGCTGTCATGACCACAGAATTACGAACAGACTGGTAATATGTAACCAGTCTTTTTTGTATGAAAGACAACAGGAGTAAAACTAATTACAACTGAGTTATTAAAGCGTAGTCATCTTTAGCAGGCACTCCACTGAGACTCTGTGAACATGTTCATTTATATGTAAGGGTTTGAATGCTGTACCTGGGAATAGAGAGGAGAGTTTTGTTTTTATTTCAGTTTTTATGAGAACAAGTAACAGAGTTCTTCCACCTCTCTTGGCCATGGGAAGGGTTCATCTCACCTCATATACCCATGGGAAGGGTGAATGTCTAGGCATCTCCACAGGATGACTTGCCACCCTTCAGGGTGTGGTGTCATGCTCACGTTTAAGCAGTCTGGATCCCCATTGCCACGCTTGTACTGATGAAGATCTCACTGCAAATAAATCTTCTTTTGTTTTGTTTTGTTTGTTTTTAAGTTTATTGGCTGGTTGAGTTCCCCGATCTGGATGGCTGCCCAATCCTCAGACATTGCTGCCAGCCTGAAAGCAGATGTGGGAAGAAGCAGCAGGGGCAGGGAACGAGGGAGCCTTATCAGCACCTGCACAGATTTCCATCAGTTGAAGCTGGCCATGAGCCCACACTCTGTAGCAGATGGAGTGAATCACCTGGTCACAGTGCCTCTCATCATCTGTCAGCTAGAGAAGGCATCTACACAATTAGCTTACATAAGATCCCTAACGTTAAGGTTGCTGAATTGGGCTAAGATAAGTTATCCCACGAATTTAGGTACATTTTCATGCAAGCAGGCATCCTGGGGGGGACCAAAGTCTTTGAATGGGTAGAAATGCTTCCATCTTCATTTCCCTAGGGCACAGTAAAAATTTGAGAGTTAGGTATTGATAAGTCACTTGGGCACTGAAAAGTCTAGAAGCCAATCAGTCATTTTCTTCCTAAAGGTCACTTTGAACAGGATCTGATGAGCAAGTCACATCATGTAAATGGAAATACATGGTTCTAATGTGGTGGATAAAGTAAAATACAGAAAAGGTATTTTAAGTGCACACCATGCTGTGTTTGAACTGCATGGGATAAGGTCTTGTAGTAAAAAAATAATGTGCAATAAAGTGGGTCTTGGTCAGCGTACATGTGCTCAGCAATGCAGATTTGTTTAGACGTGTAATGCATAAGAGGTTTGTCAGTTCTTTGACAGTTTAGACCCATGCTTAGTATATGGTTGACAACTATTTGATATTTATGTGTGTGTATATGTATGTGTATGTATGTCTTGTCATAAAGTACTGTGCTGTTTGGTTAAAGAAGTAAACCAACCTTCACTGAGAAACAAAGGAAAACATCAAGTGCCAAGACTTTATTCTCCTAGACCAGAAACTTGAAAGAGCATTTATGACAATTTCTTCTTACTGTTGTTGGGTCCATTGTACAGATACATGGATGTGCACAGTCTACTGTCTTTTTTAAAAGCAGTACATAAGCACTGAGTGCCTGTAATGGTCCTGGCCTTCTATGGCCACACCAGTAAAATAGTTAAAGAATTATGGGTATAAAATGTATTGTGAACAAATACACATTATTTTTTCTTTTTAAAGGTGTTCATCTTTACTACGTCGGTGGGGAAGTTTATGCTGAATGTGTCAGTGACAGCAGTATTTTTGTGCAAAGCCGCAACTGTAACTACCAGCATGGTTTCCACCCAGCCACAGTCTGCAAGATCCCCAGTGGCTGTAGCCTCAAGATCTTCAACAACCAGCTCTTCGCCCAGCTGCTTGCCCAGTCAGTCAATCATGGTTTTGAAGTGGTGTATGAGCTGACCAAGATGTGTACTATTCGAATGAGCTTTGTTAAAGTAAGGATTCTTTGTTTTCTCTTGCATTTCTGAAAATGCAGATCCCATCACTTGCTAGCTTTGGTGCAAAACCAGACCCCATCAAATCCTTCCCAAGTAGGGATTTAGACACCTAACTTGCAAATAGCAATTCAGACTGGCTGTTTTACAGTATTGCCTTAAACTTATTGGTGCTTAAAAACGGTAGCTTTTGTGGTCAACTTGGAAATTTCTTAGATTCCAAAAGTTAGATATTCCATAGGCATTTTGTGGAAAATAAGCAGAGATTGCATGGTGATGTTCCCCCATTGATTGCATAAAGAGCTCAACTTAGAGGGCTTAACAGCATGTAAATGTTGTAGCACATGCCACCACCAAAGCCATTACTGTTTCCCCGTCTTTCATATCTGAACTTTGCAGTCTGACTGCTCTGTGTGCAGTGTATCTGTCTTTCTGGGAGTTTCTTGAATCTTCTGAATGGCCTTCACTCCAGAATGAGATCTCTTGACTCCTTTTAGCACTTGGGATTTACTTACGTGCCTGTTGTAGCATCTAAACCCCAGAGAATGGCAAGTATTTCAAGACTGTTTACATATGCACCAGACTGATCTCCTATAATGTTGGCAGCATGAGCTGGCAGCAATGTTCAGCCTGCAAACTAGAAAAGTTGCACCATTAGAAGCCAGTTGGTCCTGCTAGGTACCGTAGGAAATGGCTTGAGTAAATCCCTTTGTCCTGCAGGTTTGGTTCTATACACATGACTGAATCAAGCTGAATGAATTCACATCTAAGATACTACAAAACCACTTGAGGCTTGAGCCTAGTTCCCCTGTGTTCTGCAAAGCAGACGAGTTGAGTCCCATGCAGCTTTCTGGTCTGATTCTTTCCAGCCATCACTGAGGACCCATCTCCTTAACTCTCTGAGAGCAGTAAGAGTGCCCTTACCATGCTGCTACTTTGTTCTTGGGAAGGAACTGACATCTTGTTCATACACAAACATTTGGGGAAAAAAAAAAGCAAGAAACCCAATAAAACAGCATTTTCTTTAATGGAAGACATGAATGGGCATGTTGTTTGTAAAGGCAGTGTAGCCAGTTATGCAATATTTTAATTATCTCAGCGACTCAGGAGCAGTCTCTTTGATGTGTTATCTGCCTCCATGCCCAGCGTGGCAGCAGAAATGGTGGTGTTGATGCACTAAATAATGCTGCTGCCATATTATCATCTTGCTTTGTTGAAACAGTAACAGCCACTGTGGTGCCTCAGGCACCAGAAGACCAGTGCAAGTAGTTATTTTGAACCCTTTCCCATGACCTTTGGAAAATAGCTATGCAAATCTCATCTATGTTCTTCCTTCATGACCTGTAAGAAGCCTTTCCTGTACTCAGTCTTCTCAAGTTCTTTCTCTCCCCAGGTGTGAGCCCTGGTGTGGTCAATCAGGGGACAGGACCGCCCCTAGATGTTGGGTATGCAGTGCACAGAGGAGCATGTTGTCTATACGAGTCACACACCAAGAGCCCCCAGGTGCAGGGCAGTCTTGTGGCTTCTCCTCTGATTTGTGTTCGGGTGCTGTTGATCACTTTGAGCCCACAGGGCAAGCAGAGCCAAAGGACAGGAGACCCTGCCTCCTACCCCATCCATGCTTGAGCTGCCAGTTGGGAGGAACTGTGCTAATCTAAAGAGTAGCATTTTAAGCAAACATTTCCAGAACATTAATCTGAGGTGCCTGTGAACACAAGGCCCTTTCTAGCCTGACAAATGCTCTGCAGGTCAGAAAAATGCCACCTGTTTAAAAGTACTCTTTGGACTTTGGCGGGTCCATATCTTACTTTTCTGCTTTTTTCCCTGCATTTCTTCATTAATTTATCCAGACCACTTATGGCATCTAGTTTTGGTGTTGATCCTAGTCTTGCAGCTGCTCATCTGGAGAAGGGGTTTCTAGCAGCCTCAGTTGTCTGAGTTGTTCAGCGCTTTCCAACTTAGGTAGCTTCAGCAGGCATAAGTCTTAACATACCTCCATGTCCTTTTCTCATGACAAAGATATCAGCCCACCTGACTAGCATAATGATAGGTAAGGCTCAGCTTTTCTGGTCAGTGGCCCACAGATGAAGATCCTCATCCTGCAGTGGGACCGCATTTTGCACCTTGCCCTATGGAAATCAGAGTTCAGTTCTGGCAGTGAGACAGGCGGGGAGCTGCAAGACTTTGGGCTGTGACTGGCAGCTTGTGTTGTTGTGAAATCAGGCTCCCTGCTTCACAAGCAGATGCTGTGCCCGCTTGAGGTGCAGGGACTTCTGGTTCTCTTTCTCCCTGCCACCACCACTTCTCCATCTTGTGTCAGATACTCCACATCCCTTATCTCCTCAAAAGACCTAGAGAAATTACTGGAGGACTTTCCACAGCAGGCAGCCAGGAACTCCTGTCGAAAGAGGTGACATGTTCAAGGACAGAAAACCTATGGAAAATGTCTATACATAGGTTAGATATGGTACAGAGGAACCCTGCTGGAAGTTTCTAGAGCTTCAGATAATTACCTGAAACTTCTATGATCTCAGGCTCCTAGGATGCATCTCTACTGATAAAAGAAGCGGTGCCGAGGATCATTCCCAGTTCCTGTTAAAGTGTTATGACGGGGCCTGGCCTGCTTTTCATCTGTGCCAGACAGCAGCCTGGCAGACTTTCCCGGGCATGTCTCTGGGGTGCGAACAGCAGGGCCCATTCCCCATGGGCTGCTTGCAGGCAGCCAAGCTCAGAAACAGGCCTTGCCGTGCCAGTTGTTCTCAGCACCTGGAAGTGTGACTAAGCATTTGTAATTTAATAGTACAGAGTCCCTGATCACTGTGATAACAGTGACCAAGGAGCCATGTTTCTAGGCAAAATTATCCCTAGGACAAAGTATTAAATCTTAGGAACTAGGGAATCTGTAGTTGTGTTTGACTGTCAGCATTGGAGTTGTGATTTAATGTTGTTTTTTTTTTAACTCACTTTTTGGTCATTTGATGCTTTTATAGGGCTGGGGAGCAGAGTATCATCGCCAAGATGTTACAAGCACGCCCTGCTGGATTGAGATCCACCTGCATGGACCATTACAATGGCTGGATAAGGTGCTGACACAGATGGGCTCACCTCATAACCCCATCTCCTCAGTCTCTTAAGAATCATCTCTAGAGTTCCCTTAGGATGGATGCTATTGCAGGCAGTGGCTTATAGGATTTCCAGTGAACAGAAGCTTCTATATGTAGATGTATGTAGATGTAAATATATCTATACATAGTCTTACTTTTTTTTTTATGCTATGTTTTGTGGTTTCTAGTTACTCTGATGCCAGTACGATAAGTTTAGAAATTCAGGTACAGCATATCTGTTCTCTAGTACAAAATAAGCCAAATTCCTGCAAAAGTGTCAAACATTTCCTGCGAGCATCTTCATTCCCCAGCCAAGCCAGTAAACGGTGCGAATTCTCAGCACTTCCATGCAGATTCAGAAACCTGGCTGTAGCTGTTCCTAGTAGGTGAAATTCACCCCTCTGCAGGCAACCAAAGTCAGATCTGTGCGCCATTTATATCCATTTTACATCCTAATTCCAGGTCTAAAAGAGGACCTTAGGTGGTGCACAGGATTTATGCATAGAGATGACTTTTATCCAGTGAACTGAAGGGCTAAACTGCGATTCCAGTCTGTCTCCCTGCTGCAAAGCACGATGGGACAACAGATCCTCCGAGGAGCTGAGGCATCCCTGTCTCCCCTAGGATTTGACAGGAGGAGAGAGCCCTCAGGATGCACTGGAGCCTTATCAGAACATTCTGGACACATCTGAGTAGTCTGATACTGTTAACACAGTAGTGTACGGTACTGCTGCACTGAAAAGCAACAAGGTCCTAAGGAAAACAAAAAAATTTAAATATATGCCTATAAGTTTAAAAACTAATTAACTTCCAGTGCTTTTTTGCAAAGTACATACATACTTGCATATGTATCCGGCATGTAAACTGAATCTTATCCATTATACAGTATTGACATAGTTTGTTTTAAAGTTAAGACTGTCTGTAGTTAGACTACTGTGCTGATACCAAGGGTACGTCTAGAAGGGACTTGAACTGTGATTCAGAAAAGGGAAATGAAGTATGCATTGAAGAACCAAATAATGACTTTATCATTCGTCTTGGGATAGCCTCTGTACTGGGAACAGGAAGCCCCACGCTCATAGAATGCAGTGAGGAGGTGGGAGTCAGTCATGTCCACCCCTGTGCTGGGCCAGCCCTTGGGATCTGACTGCAATGCTGGGTTTGACAGAGAGGGCTTCCCTGCCACTCCCTACATCCCCGTGGATGGTTCCTCATCTTAGATACAGGTATCGTTTGCACTGCTTTTGCCTCACCTGCAGAGGATGGTGAGGCAGCGTAAGCCACAAACAAGCAAAGAATGAATTTATGTGCTAAAGCTCCTTGTCTCTGGGTCATCTGTAAGAAGGGAAACCTATTGCCCGTACACCCATCCCCAGAGCCAGCCTTACAAATTGCTGTTCACTTGGTAACCTTTCCTGAGGAAGCAAGTGAAACTCTTACTACATTTTGATGGTCCCCATTACCGTGCTGAAAGGGTAGAGGATTATTTCTTCCAAGCATAACAGTCCACTGAAAATTGTTTTGCTTTAAGGGTCAGAAAGAGTGATAACTTCTCCAGTCTCACTCCTCCTTAGAACACACCAAAAGTATCCTGAGAAAAAATATGTTTTATAGAATATTTCTTCTCTTCTCACACAATATCTGGTGCTACACATTTTACTGCATAATTAGAAGAGGATGCCTGAAATCTACATCACATATGCAAAGGAAGTAACATTCACTGGAAAGACTTTTCATGTATTTTAGATGCTATGTAATACCTGTTATGGGGTGGTAATTATGAACAGAGCAGAGGAACCAATACAGTAGCAGGGTTACTTCCTCTGAATGCACTTTCAGCTGCCTGCAACATTTGTAGGGCACAGAAGGGTAAGTGGTCATTAAATCTGAGCAGTAACAGCAAGATGTCTGGGAAGTTTGTATATGCAAAGAACCCTTTTCTGTCACCATTTGACATCAGCATTGTTACTGTGGGATAGTAAAATCTTTACAGTCTCCTGCAGCAATGAAACCCAGTAATAACATTGCACAGAAATTCCAGGTGTGCCATTTACTGTTTAACAGACCAGAGAGAGGTCAGCTTGGAAAAAGTTGTTTTCCTCAGCTCCCTCTGTCATCAATCACTGTACCAAGGTACTGGTAACACAGTTTTTAGCATGTTTATTGCAACCTTTCTCCAGAAACTTCTGTGTGCTTTTCATGTTGCTCATTCCTTTGCTTTCTTAGCAGCTAAGGACAGAGAAAATCACCTCCCCTGTCCAGGATCTACCTCTGTCCTTTATCCTAAGTTCTTCTTTACCTTTTAGGCTGAACCTTCCTCCTTCCTAATATAGAGAGAAGCCTAGGAGTTGCTTTTAGACATTCCCAGCACTGTCATCTTCGTCATGGAGAGCAAAGGGGGGCATCCAGAGGCGCATTCACTCTTGGGCAGCTCCAGAACCCAGTTTCCTGCCAATGCTGCAGAGGAAACTTGGGCGGCCGGTGAAGAGAAGCAGGTTCTTCGGGGGCATCATTCATTTCATCACAAGGCAGGTATTTCAAATAGGTGAAATACACTGCGCTCTGAGCATGGTTATGTCTGCCCATTGAGTGTAAAGGGAACTCAGGGTAACTAGCTCACTGCTACAATGGATATGTCCAAAAGTAGGTGAGATGGGCCCTAGAGGAGATGTAGTAGCTTTCCCAGCCTAGTAATGATGCTTGCTCAGTAAATGTCTGGTTTGTTTAAATGGAAGTTTGTAAATTCAGAGCAGTTTTTCGTTTCTGGTATGTCTACTTTTACAGTAATCCTTGTACAAATAGGATTTGGCTTCAGTTCAGTCCACACATGCTTCTCATTAAAGGTAGTCACCTTAATATTCCCTGACTAGTAAGTAGAGAGGCACTTCTGGAGCATGATTCTTCTGACCTGTTTAAATGTCTGCATTAGGATGAGATGAATTTCAGCAAATGTAACTGTTTGCTGAAAGTTGGATCAAAGCACCTGATTCTGAGCAACCAAAGCCAACAGCCATCTCAAGAGCTGTTGTCAGCCTTTGGGAAGGCTGGTATCACTGTGTGGACTCTTTCTGTTTGGATGGCCTCTAGGGGCTTGGTCAGCTGTATGAGATGCTGTGAAAACACAGCAGCTGACAGCTCCTTCCACAGAAAGGGGGAGAGCTCACATCACGAGGGAGAAGTGGTAACAGTGGACAAGGCAAACAAGTAAATAGGAAGATGATACCTGCCCAGATGCAGTGATAAGAAGTAAGGCCAGTAAAGCATTTATTTACCTTTCTTTTTGAAGAAAGACTATCTTACAGCTTCTCAGTTAAAAATTCGGTTTCTTATAATTTACAGCAGTGTAACTTTGTATCTCACTCTAATGTCTCCCCATTTTGGAAGGAGATACTTTCTCCTGAAAGGTCTTCATGAACCTATCAACCTGTAGTCAATTTAAAGCCTTTAAATGCACTCATTAATACTCAAGCTTTGGAGATAGGCTTCGTGAGAGTTTTAAAACCACTTACAGCGAGACTACTTAGTTGAAGGCCAGTTTTTTTCAAATTTTTTTTGAGCCATCAACAATACAAACCCTCTTGAAAGTTTCTGTGGAGAAGTACCATGCATCAGCAGGCAGCGGTGGGAGTTTGATGAAGCAATGGCATAAAGCACGTTTATCGTGGTATGAAGACCACTTATTTTCCTCTTAAGTAGCCAAAAGACTACTTAATTGCTGCCAGTTTGTCAGCAGCACCAGTATTAACGTGCCATTTGCATCCAGAGATGACAGAGGCACTTCTGACACACAGACTGCGTGGAGCTGTTCAATGGCACTGCTGCACTGACAACTTGGTCCCACAACCTTGCACTGTAACAGCAATCAGGTACGGTACAGCAGTGGCTGTAGCATTCAGAAGTGCAGCACATGCTTTGCCTCCCCATCAGAGGGAGTGATGCCACAGGTGTGCATCTCAGGAGAATTTCATGTTTTGCCATGCTCAGTCTGAAGAATGATGTGTCCGCAACACAGAGGGGAGCCACGGCCCCAAGTAACAGCAGCTGGGGTTGAGGAAATTCCTGCT